AACATAAACTACAGAAAACTTATTATCGTTTATTATCCTTCTTATCATTTATCTTATTTCTTCTAGAAATACTCAAGGATGGACTCGGAACCAGCATTCCTGGTTTGACATGCGAGTTTGCCAATTCCGAGCTTTACATTCTCACACAAGGTGCTAAACTTTCCTTAACCCACAGAACCTGACCCTGTACAGAGGTAATGATGATAATGCCAAGTTTGGGTGGTTTGTGAAAATTAAAAGCGACAAAGCCCATACTGCATTTAGCATAGGGCTTGGCACATAGTGAGAACCCAATACAGTCTAGCTATTACTACAGACTCTTGATTTCTATTTCCATCTCCTAAACCATAATGTTTTTATATATGCATACATACAAACACACATATATACATAAATATAACCCAAAATAAAGGTACTAAAAACAATTTCATTGGCTACAATTAGTACTCGGACTCTACACTGCTGACAGTTTATCTCAATATGACAATGGCAAAACTGAACAAATGGTTTCTACATACAGCAAAGTCCACCTTGGCCAAGATACAGTCTGAGGGACCTCCCTGGCAGTCTAGCAGCTAAAAGGCTCCACACTTTCAAAGCAGGGAACTAGATTCCACATGCCACAACTAAAGATCCCACATGCTACAACTAAGGTGTGGCAAAGTCAAATTAATCAATATATTTTTTTAAAAAGATACAACCTGAATAACACGGGCCTGATTTCCCTAGTGCTTCCTTATTCAGAAATAGACAATGTGATAGAAGAGACTGTGCTGTAATCAATCTTCAGTAAATTTCACCCATAAATTCCAAATCTTGTAAAACAGAGAAAACAAAAGAAGTGCATCATGTATTCCTCCAATTTCATAATCGATTTATTCAAACAAGAAAAAGTTATGGAATATATACCATGTTCTAGGCTCTGTATGTGTGTGTGTGTGTGTGTAAAATGGTAATTAGCAGAGTTAAAATCATCGGTGATTCTGAGAACAATTTAAATGTGCTAAATTCGAAGGCAGCATGGATTGAAAAGAAATATCAAGAGTTAATCACTCTCTAAAATACAACACCCACACACATAATTCAGCATATCCAAGGACAGCTAATCCCAGTAAAAATAATAGCACAATTCACAAAGATAGCAGGTCTAGCCCTAGCTTGAAACCAGATATTTTGAAGACAAAGTTTAATATTTCATAGCAAAACTCTAAAAAAATTTTTTTTTCTAAATCAGTGGATCTTAATTACATCCAAGTGAGGATGCCAAGGAGAGGATACGTGTGGCCATTTATTCATGGATGAGGCAATGCCAGATAAGCGAAGTAGTTCATTTGTCTTGGTCGGTCCAGAAGATATTTAGGAAGATTATCATTTGAACCTGACAGACGGGTGGTAGGAGATCAGATAACAGTCAATGAACAGGATGTTCTGAGCCCAATTGATAACATAGATATTGACAAGTCACAGGAATCAGGGTATTTGACTGCACTCCTTCAAGGCATTCAAGGGTGAGGACTGGGTCCTGGTGGACAAAATGCTTCACCTGCATCATAAGCAACAAGCTGCTGGGCCACAAGACCCCTGACTGACCAGTCTGAGCTGCTTTCATAGAAGGTATTGGCTTATAAAGTTAGGGTGGATTTGTTGAACAAATCCCAGCACACAAGAAACTACACAGGCCATGTCTTGAAGGTTAAGTGGAGCAAATTTAGGACAAACAGTCAGAAATAAGTCTTTAACAGCAGTCAGGAATTCTTAAGGAAACTTAAGGGCTTCCCCAGTGGCTCAGAGGTAAAGAATCTGTCTGCAATGCAGGAGTCACAGGCTTGATTCCTGGGTCAGGAAGATCCCCTGGAGGAGGGCATGGCAACCCACTCCAGTATTCTTGCCTGGAGAATCCCATGGACAGAGGAGCCTGGTGGGCTACAGTCCATAGTTGTCAAAGAATCAGACACAATTGAAGCGATTTAGCACACACACATGCACACAAGCAAACTTAAGGAATTCATTAACTCCAAAGATATAAACTAAAAATATGAACAGATTCCCCCAAAGTTTAGATCAATTCAGAGGAAAGCTTTCAGGGGCAATGACTTGGCACCCTAGGGCAAAAGGTCTTTGAAAGTGCCCTTGCTGAAGGGATAAAGAGGTGCTCCTTTGTATTTTCTGGCACCCCAGGGGTGGGTCTCTTTGGTGTCTTCCATTTGTTAGTAGTCCCCCTTCCTTTCATGGAACTTTATCACCCTCACTGTCAGGCTTGGTTTTTTGGCCTCATGCATTCCAAAAGCCTGGTGGACAGTCACTGTGATACATTATTCCTGTTTCAGTCTTGTTCTGTCTTCTTTCAGCAGGGTCAGGTTACAATGTATTCCACAGGAGGAAGGAACAGACATCATATCTGCCCAGGGCCAGGAAGAGGGTGAGCTCACACTCCACCTTCAGCTTCCAGAAATGCTAAGCTTTCTCAAGGGATCAGGTCCTGCCGAAGCCTCATCCCACCTCCCTCCATTCCTCCAGGCCTGCCTCTCCCCATGGAAGATAAACTCTCTACCACAGGACACAGAGGACAATGCAGAAGGAAGCCATTTCTGCAAACAGTAATCCAGGTATAGATTCTCTTTTCCATCCAACACCCCAAATAAGGCTTTGTGACCCCTGGAATGTGAGACAATATATAAAATATGCCAAAGAGAGCATCATTATGTTGTTTATTATGACCTAAAAGAAACAAGGATCTGGAATGTGGAGGATAAGAACACAAAGACAGAATTGGGAGCGTGTGCAAAAGGAAAAAAAAAAACATATCACTTGTTATATACACTTGTTATATACAGGTCATGTGCCTTAGCAAATTCCATCACAAAGATCACTTGAATGTCAGAAGGTGAAGGCCATATTCAAAGAGCTACCTCCAAACATGGAGGGGTTGGCCCTGGACACAAATAACATGGTAACATGACCCTGGGAGGGAAATGTGTTCTGAGTTATACCAGGGCCTGACGAGGCCTCTCCCGCAGGCTCTTCCTAAATAGGAACTTGGCAGTGGAATTAGCGAGGGCTGGAGGGGACATCCTTGGCTATGGAGGTGAGGCCCTTTAGGGTCTTGAGGAAATTTGGACAGAAGTTCTTTCTCCCTGCTGGTAATAACACTGAAGGATCAGCGTCACATCCATTTTATTAATTTTCTTGACAGGCAGATCTAGTTTCCACGCAGGCACCACAAAATCAAAACATACGCACGTCAAGTGCCCCATGTGGGGTGGGGCCCTGCCAAGGCCGTGTTCCGTCAACACCAGAAAGCAGAGCCCAAGTCCCCAGACCATGTGTGCTGGTCCTGTGGGTAATTCCTGGCTGGAAGAAAGCACCAGAGCTTGGCTGGATGAGCCAGAGGAGTGTGCTTGGTGACAGTCCTTTATCCTGCTCTGGGCTCCTTGTGTTGAACGTAAGAGCCCTGGGAGACACCAGGCTACATCTGGCTCTGAGGCTTGTCTCTGAGTCCAGCCACAAAGTCCTCCCTGCTGCCTCTATCTGCCTGCGTTCAGCTGTATCCAGGCAGGGGACTGGCAGCCTGGATTAACGGAGCCATTTAAAGAAAAGCAATGTCCTTATTTGTGAGCTGGGTCTGAGCCAGGATTTTGCAGAGCTGAGGTCTCTGGGCACATAGTAACTAAAGGATATTTTCATCAAGGCATCCATCACTAAAGTGACTGAAAGGACCCCAGGATGATTTGTTCTTTTCTGTAACATTAACTATAAATCGGCTAAATAATGTAAATGAGGTGGGCAGAGAGGGTAAGGACTGAGATGAAAATCCTAAGTCACATAATTTATGGATGCTGAGGGTGAGCCCTGACAGGGAGTTAGCTCATCACCTGCATCCCCATCCTCCCAACATACCCCTGTCTCTGCATCCAGGGTCACTCCCAACTGCTGGTTGTGGAGGCAGCAACAACGGCAGCAAAAGGCCGGAGAGTTCACACCTTCGATTTCAGAGTTTCTGGCCCCTCTGCAGGATCTCCTAGTGACTGACTCATTTCCTACCTCAACCACTAGCAATTCAGGAAGGGGAATGTAAATAAACAAATAACAGGGAGAGGAATATAAGGCTAGATCTTGAGCTAATGGCCACCAATGCCAAGTCAAGGAGGCCCAGTCTAGACAGGATTTACTGTGCTGGTTTGCTACCTTGCCTGTCTAGGCTAAGCAATCCAAGGATAAGGATCACCAAGAGCTCTCAAAGCCCACTCAGCAGAGTCCTGGGTCCTCAACCCAATGTCCTAGAAACACTCCTGGCCTGGCCTGTGGGGACAAAGTTAGGTCTTCCTTTGTCTGAGTTAGCCCAGTGGTCAGGGGCCACTTTTGGGACTTTGGAGAGGCTGCCCAGTCACCCTAGCGGGTGAACTGCTGACCACCCGATGAGTATATCCAGACCGCCCATCTCACGGTGTAAAGGGCCCTGTGGCCCAGGATTCAGTTCCTCCTTTGACTCTTCATTCAAACAACCATGGCACGTCGGCCCTGCTGGCCTCCTTGATTGTGCAGAAATAAATAAATGAATTATGTTGTTGGGGTCTGGGCTTCAGCACACACACATGGTCTGCATTTATCCGCACAGTGAGAGGTCCAGCAGCCACTTGATGTAAAAGAGCAAAATGATAATTCTTTTCTTTAGGCGCGCTGGTGCCATATGGAATGTATATAAATCATATTTTTGTTTTAGCAGCGGAGGCTTTGTTGATAGATAAACATGTGGTTTATCTAAAAAAAGAGAGAGGATCGTGCTTTGAACAATCATTTAATGGCCATGGATGTGCCAAATAAAAATAAAAACATAATTTTGAAAGAAGCTGGCCTTGTGCCCAAATCTGTAACAAGGAATTTCTGCTTAACCAGAGTGGTTAAAGCCCGTCGATCTGTTTTGAGTTTAAGTTGTGCTCTCTACTCAACCCCACGACAAATTGAATCCGGGGCTAATGCGCTCTAATCGGACGAGACGTTACCTTTATGAATGACCTCATGGAGAAGAGGTTGGCGAGCATGGTAGAGAGCCCTTGAGCCAGGCAACTCTGGGCGATGAACCCCAGCTTCAGCTCTGCGAGGCAGATTGCATCATCCCCCTCTTTCCAATTCCAGCTTGGGATGTTTAGCAGATGGGCCTGCAGAAACAAAAACAGGTATGAGACCTTACTTTGTTAAATGTTCAATTGTTTAAAGTCTCCTCTGGGAAACGCAGTATTTCCCAACTGCTCAGGGTCATCCAGACTCCGCCTTCCTTTCCCTTGCCTGGGTCTGGCGTTTCCTGCTTTATTCAGCTCTTCTGTGCGTTAGATCTCAGTCTCTCTGCAGCTCTGCTTCTGCACCTACCAAGTCCAAGTCTTCCCCTTGGGTTTGTCACTGAGCCAAACAGAGTCCAGAGAGAATTTCCTCTTGTGACAGACACGTCAACCTGTGCTACTAGAATGTCTGGCTAGGTTGTTCTAAATTGGCTCTCCAAAAAACCTTAAGACTGTCAGACACCTGTATATTTTAGATTTCTTTTTTATCTGCCTTCCCAGATCTCTTGCTCTATGGCTCCTGAGCTTGAGTGGGCATCCAAATCAACTGAAGGGTTTACAAACTGTCACCCTCTCCCCCACAGGTTCTGACTCTTTGTGGGTGGGGTAAGATTGGAGAATTTTCATTTCTCACAGGTTCGAGGTAATGCTGAGCTAGGAACCACTTTTTGAGAAGCACTGCCCTAAATGATCAGGCATGTCACAGTGGAGACACGTTACAATCTCTTGCAGATGGACTGATCCTATTCACCAGTGAGGTCAGACCCTGAAACGAGGACCCAGCGGCTTGATCATCCAATTATTTTTAAGTGGCATGAAGCAGAGGATCAAAGACAATACACTAGATGAAAGAATTAAGGCCCCAAAGTTCTCCAGAGTTGGAAAATGGGCCAAAGAAACAACCAGAAAAGATTCAAAGGGCTGTAATGTCAAGTATAGCACTTAGGTTTAAAAAAATCAGTTGTACATATCCAAAATGGGAAGCCCTTATTTGGCAACAGATATGAAGGGACAGAAAAAGAAGAAGTGTTTGGGTAAATTAAAAATCTCCAAAAGAGGCCAATCCGTGACAGATTACAGAACAATCCAATGGTAGTTCATCAGAAACTGTCTCCAGATCACAGGACATGCGAATGTTCTCTTCTGCTGTGAACTGGTCAGGCTACTTCCCCAGCACTTGATCCAGTTGTCAGATTAAAACAGTCAGATTTAAAAAGAGAAGTTGGCAACTGAATAACTCCCAGAGGAAAATGACAGGCTTTAAGACGAGACATGATTTCTAAAAAAACAGCTTTTGAAGAACAGTTAAGGGAGCCAGCAGCATTCAGCCTGAAGCAGCGCCACACCTCCAGGAAGACAGGATGGTTTCCTGTACATACCTCAGGTCCTGCTGTGATGAGCAGAGACCAGGCCTGTCTTGCTTTGGTCCAGAATTAGGAACGACTGACTGGTATCTATTATAAGAAAGAAGCTTTTCTGGCTTGTTTTATAAAGGAAGTTTTTAAGGATGTAGTTTGCCTAATAATTGGAGAAAGTTACCTCCAAAATTGCAATGTCTTTGTCCCTAAAACTCAGTATGCATTTCTCCAAGACTCCGTAGACTCATGCTTTGCACAGGAGGCTGAGTCAGGCCCCTTCTAGGCTTCTGCTAATGCCAAGACTTTATGGCCCTGAAATGACTATTTCTCTCCAGGTATTAGCAAACACAAGGAGCACAAGGAGGCGTCCCTTCACTTTCAGGGCAACATACGATAGGTGTGCTACTAGAGAGAGAAGACTCCACCGTGGAGCCACAACCAAGTCCAGTGACTCCAAGCATGGCTTTCAGAAATACCACTCTTGTGAAATTCCCTCTTACAAAATCCTGTTCTGTAACAATCTTGTGAATCCTAATCCAGCAGCGTTTATTCCTAGGAAAGCTGACTGTATCCTCCCCAATGAAAGCAGTTAAAATAGCCCCATGTGTGGGCTATAGCAGATGGGAATTTCTGTCAAGCTAAGTATCAGAGACCTTCCCACATCATAGACTCAATTCCATTAATTACCTTGCCCTTTATCTCATTTCTCTCCCTATCCTTCACTGGCTTAAGAAGCCCATTTTCCCCCTTTACGTCCCTGGTATCATAGAGAATGTATCAGGCTAAGTGGAAAAACACTCATCTGCAAGAGCATCATCTGAGAAGAATGAGGAGAAATTAAATCTAAGTCATGAACACATAAATCATCAAGTATGAAAGGAGATGTGGGTGGTCCAAGCCCCAGACAGAAACCATGTAACCTTCATGGTACCTTCAAACAAATAAAATAATCTTTTTAAGATGGTCTCTCATATCCCCATGTGCCAGTTTTTGGATTTTAGGTCTTGGGTCCCTCATGTACCCATCTGGTATTGAGTTCCTTAGACATATTGTACATGTTGTTACACAGAAATGTCAAGTTTGTTTCACCTCTCAGCCTGTTTGGCTATCATATCTTCTCCAATTGTAGGGCAGGGAGCCACCAGGGACCTGCCAAAACTGGAAGGACTGTGTTCACCAAAAACAGAGAGAGAGAGAGAGAGAGAGAGGAGACTGATCCAGGAATTCAACTTGTTTGCTTCTGGTGACTCTGTATTTTTTCATTTAGGGAAATGTGGGTCCAGTGGGAGATGCCAACATGTTACTATGTAGGAGTCTAGAGGCAAACCCTCTCTCATATGGAGAACCAGCCCTGCTAAGGCAGGATGAGCAGGACCACAGCTTTCCTCTGTGTGAGATGAAAGGAACGTGAAAATAGGCTGTTCTGGAAACCAGAACAAACAGACTCCAGTCCCTGTGCCATCTCTCACTACACATTCAGCTTTGGGAAAGCCACCATGGTGAAGAAAGAAGGTCACCTTGGAGCAAAGACTGTAACATTTCTGCTCAAGTATAAGGGTTTACAGTGAGAAAGCTCAGAGAACGTCCATCTCCACTGGGCCACCGGGACTTGGCTTCCGGTCACAGACAAAGATCTCTTTTTCTAGAGTCTGCCGGGAACATTTTAAAAGTCCGTTGATAGTGAACTCATCAGGAGTGACATTTTTTCCAAGATGTCATAAAGCATCCTTTCCTTCAAGAGTTTTAAGCCCTTTGCACTCAAATAAGAAAAAAACCCTGCGTCATCTTTCCATGTTGGGAGATGGTAAGGCTGAGTGTTTCTCTCCTTGAACTCTACTGGGGTAAACAGATGGACTTTGGAGACCCTCAGTCCTTCTGTAAGTCCTACTCAGAGGAACCACAATTTAGTTCAACAGCCTGTGGCTCTACTGAATGAGAGGGTGGCAGTTGGCAGTTCTGTCTCTTAGTTCACTGTCTCCCAAGTGACCATGAGTTGTACCCATCAGAGATGCTCTGTCTGAGACAGAACTTAGACCCATGGTCTGCAGTGACACTGGGATACTGAAAGGAACAGGTGGTTAAATGAGGACTAAACGAGATAATGGATGTCAAAGCTCTTTCAAAACTGTAAAATATGACACAAATGTCTGAGATTATGATGATGACAAACTCAGGACCAGTTTTATATGGAAAGAAAGAAGATTGCTTCCCTACATCCCTAGATCCTAGAATACCACCATTACTAGATCATGGGGAATTGAAGTTCTTCCTATTTTAAGGTTGGTATTCAATTATGGAATTAAGTATCCTATGGAATATGCTGACAGTCATGTAAGTGTACATGCATGCAACAGGTTCTTTCCTGAAAGCAAGTTTGTTTTGTTTTTTTGAAAGCAAGTTTTAATGGATGGAGATCTATGAGCATCTAGTTGTGGGTGAAAAGAAAGTGCTAAGAGATGAACAAAAGTAATATTATAAAGGTAGCTAGGATCTTAGGTAGCTAGGAGGTAGCTAGGAGGATCTTAAAAAAAAAAAAACAGCAAAATTGTAAAGCAAAGTGAAGAATGCCTATTTGCAATTCTACAAGGAATGAGATGACAAATAATGACCAGTGGACTTCCTGTTCTTTCTCTACAAGAGGAAAAGGAAATGAAAAGAGCCTTGTAACAAAGTCACTATGTCCCATTCACTCTCACACATCCTACAAGAACAAAGTCTTATAAGTGACTTTTCCTAACTCTGAAACCCAAATAGCTTGGGGTGGTTCTAAACAAAATGTGTTTTAAGCGATTAATCATGGGTCAATTGATGTGTTCATCATTGTTTCTGAATAATGACAAGGCAGAGACTGTAAAAGACATTCAGTTTGCCCTGATCATGTGAAGACTGACCAGTGGCATCTGGACCCTAGGTCCACAGAACTACTTCTGAGTTTGACAAGAATCACAGAGCTGAAATTCTCCTTAATTCCTTGAAGATGCTATATCAGCACTCATTGGAAGGAGAAGAAAAGGAACTGACATCCTTTTCTAAACATACAACATTCATTTTCCTATTCAATCTAAATTCAGCCCCAAATCTAAACAATGGCTTAAAGCACTCCCACACTAAATGAAATTTCAAATCACAGAGGAAGGAGGGAGAGTTCACAGCCTCGAGAGCTTTCACCAGCCACAGCCTTGCTCATAAACTTCACCTCCACCTACAGGGGCTGCTATTAAGACTTCTCCAGATTGGTGCCGGTGGGTTATCAACACCCTCACTTTCTCTCTTTAGTCTCCTGGGTTTCCAGAGACAAAGAAGACACTGTGACCTTGGGTGCCCACCACCCAACCCACTGGCTGGAGCCCAGTACAGTCTGCAGTGGAACCACCTTGGAGGGCTGGGTGGCAGAGGGCCATGGGCAGCATCCCAGTCACCGACAGCAGGCTCCAGCCCACAGTGCCTCTGACGGGCTTCCACACAGCAAGATGGGACAGCGCTTGCCAGCAATTAAGAAATAATGGCACGGCACTGGCACATTTGGCAGAACGGAGTCCTCTCTGGGTCACCTGACTGCCTATTTCGTAGGGAATATGGCCCATAAGATGGGACAAACGCTCACTCACAACCCAGCAGGGAGTCATTCTGTCCAGACAGGACACCTGGTGGCAGGTACTGAGCAGCCTCCAGTTTCTCATAACTGGTTCCACATCAAACACAGAGAGACGCCACCTTCCCTCCCCCAAAGCTGTTTTCCTTGGAGTCTCCTGACAGCCAAGCAAAGGAGTACTGCCTCTGAATGAGAGACAGGACTGTGGTTTATGGAGAAGGAATCACAAGGAAAACAGCATAGACTCCAACACTGGTTTTCTTTCTGATACCCCCTAAACTGTGAAGTGAAGTGAAGTTGCTCAGTCGTGTCCGACTCTTTGCGACTCCATGGGCTGCGGCCTACCAGTCCATGGAATTTTCCAGGCAAGAGTACTGGAGCGGGTTGCCATTTCCTTCTCCCCCCTAAACTGTAACACTAGGAAAATCCTTTCATGTTTAATCTCTGGAGAGCCAGCTATTTTCCTGAATTCAACTGTGCACATTCTCACCTTGAGTTTGAGAACACCGTGTTCCACATTCTCCACCCAATGCACGGTCCATCCCCCCAAGTTCACCTGGTCTCAGGTAGAAAAGTGCCCTCACTCACCTAGGACACTCTCCACCTTGACTGCAAAATCCCTGAGCACATACCCTCTCCATGTGGGCTTGGAGGAGGCAGGCCAAGTGCCGACCAAGTAATAGGTATTCGCTAAATACCAATGGAAGAAATGAGTGCAGCACACAGAAATGGAGGTTGTTGGAATGGAGTCTAAGGACATATTGATGTTTCTGAACCCAGGGGACCAACAAATGTTTCCTGAATAAATAAGTCAGTACGTGAAGAAGTTTCCCTCCAAGGACCACCTGCAAACAAGGTGTCTGGACTAGAAGAAATGTCCCGGGAGGTTTTCATCCATCACCCCTCCTTCTCCAGGTCTCTGGATGGCACTGGTGTATGTACACATGCATGCACACACATGAGTGTGCAGCTAGACCTCACACTCATGAGAGCTTGGACCCCATCTGTACCTCTGAGCCTGGGACAGGCTTGCTGCCCTACCTTATTGTGATACTGCAGCATCTGAGTGATGATTCTTATCTTCGGGTGGTAGTTCTTTATGGAGATGACTCTGAAAGAGAAGAGAACAAAAGTTGAGCCAGGGTCTGCCTCACCCTTGGAGTCTGATGGGAAGATTAATTTGATTACATCCAAATGCAGTGACTATGGGGCCAGCAGCCAGGGCCTGCAGAGGGGCTGCAGGCACTGGGCCAAGTTAAACTGTGTTTCCACCACCATATCCCATGGTCGTGTGAAAAGGAACTCACAGAGTGGCCACAGACCGTGTCTTAGACATGAAAGAAGAAAGAGATCCTGTGATGCCATGGTGATGGCGTGTATGTACCGGGCATGGGGGGTCTGGAGCAGGGTGTCACAGGCTTATTGCCTACCTAGGCATCTAAATAAAACAAGTTCTACTCGTGCGGCCAACAGAGGTTTGCCATCTCACATACCCTAGGGAAGAGCCCAGAAACAATTTGCTCTGAGTCCAGTATTCCAAGTTAACAACATGAGACAACGTGACAAATCAGACAAGCAGCCTGACAAATGATTCTAATTGTCATGCACACATGGCCACTCTCACAGAAATGATTTCTGAGCAGGACTCTTAGGAGGGGATCCATGACTCAGCCTTTGATAGTTAATAGCATCTAGATGACGACTTTGATGCTGGTTAGATAAGTGCCAAGGCCTTGTGGAGGTCATGGTCTGCTGGAAAATTCCCCGGAACTGCTCTCAGTCCATATTTAGTATTAAGCACTGCCTGCCCCCACCTCAACCCTCCCTTCTGTTCCCCATAACAATCACTCTGCTGAAAGGGGAGGGGCTGGGAACAGAGGACCAGAAACACCTGCATACTAGTCCCAGCTGCTACACTAACAGACTGGGTGACCTTCAGGAAATCCCCGGGCACTCTGTGACTGTTACCTCATCTGGACACTGGGGGCAATGGTACCTGCTTTATGTATTTCACAGGCTTTGGTATGAGCAGCACATGAAAAACCAGATGTGAAAATGCTTTGAAATCATTAAAAGCTCTCTCCATGTGTAAGTTATGGTTTTTGTCATTACCGACTCTGTCAGAGGTGACATTGTACATTTCCTTCTGTGACAAGGAAGGCTAAAGAAAGGAATTCCACAAAAGGCCCACCTCCTAAGCCTAATCAGAAATGCAAGTGCATTTATCATGACCACCCCCACAAACTTCCCACCAGGAAACTCTCTATGCTTCATCCCTTTTTGTGCAAAGATGGAGAGAAAGCAGCCAGGAAGCAGCTTTGTCTGAAAAGCGACCACTTGTGAATTTAGGAAATGGATCATGCAGAAACTTCTCCCTGAAAAAATTCACCCTGGGCTTTTACACTTGAAGGATTTCATTTTATTTTTGAAAAAGTATTGTGTTGGCCCATGCTTATAACTCAAGGACTTTGAGCCTCTGTCAGCTCTCAGAATTCAGTTCACAGCATCAGCCAGTTTTCTGCATTAGCTCATTTCAAACAGATCTTTGACATTTTAATTTCAAAAGGGGCAGATTGGTCTCATTAAACTAAGGAGAAAGGAGGATTATACAAATAAGGGAAAGACAAAGCCCATTTTTTAACCCTGAGCTTCCCACTTCCTTCTGTTGACTGGGCCTTAGTTCTGATTCTGGCTAAGGGATGGCTTAATCACACTTCTGATACTACCTTTGTTCAGTCATTTTTATGCCTTGGCATAAGGTACCCTATATGTTTTCATGTTAACCCTACTGTCATCAGGGCTTAAACAAAATACTGTGAAAAGAAACGCCCACTTCGAAACTATTATCAATTATTCACTTAAAAAAGTAAAATAAAAGGCAGTACCAGCCCCCAAGTTTCTCCATAGGGTCAAACATTAAGCTTCATCTTCTTTTGGTTTTTCATTTGACATTTTGAAAAACAGTGTTCTTTAAAAGCTACAATTTTATCACTTCAAATGACACAGAAATGTGAAGGCTAGAAATCCTAGTTCAAGGAAACAGTCAAGTGGTGCACCTTAAGCTGGGGCCACTGTGGTCACTTTGGAGCTGTGACTGGTTATGGGACAGGCCCAGATGTGGAAGCAGGTCCCAATTCCACCAATTCCCTGCAGCCTGGGAAGCCCAGTGCCTACAGGAATTTGTGCATTGACTCTCTTAGGATGACTGCACTAAGCGTACTGTCAAAGAAAAGTGAGCAGAAATAGCACACTGGGCCAGATGTCACTTGCCAGACAAAAAGACCAGATGCTGAGAGGAGGACGGACGTGCTCCAGAGGAACTCCGCCCCCTCACTGATGGGCAAGCTCACAGCCCTTGGGACCACTGAGGAAAAGCAAAGCCAAGGAGAAGGGAGCACTGTAGTGGCGCAAAGGCAACTTCCCTAGCCTCCACCCCAGGTAAATTCCCAGGACACGGGAAACCAAGCTGCAGAGAGAGGGGAATCTTGGTCTAGACCCAAAGGATGGCTGTTCACAATTAGCCAAGAGTTCCTGGGAATCTAGTGGGAGTGAAATGTTTCCTCTTAGTTCATCTCTTCTCCAGAAGATTCTCTTTACGATCCCCTCCCAGTTCTCTTAACTACTCTGCAATTTATGCTCCAGTCGAGAAGAATCCAAAAAGAGTTTTGACTGTTTGGAGCAAAATATCTTAACTTTCTGGTCACCTCATAGCCCCAAGATGTCTGGAATATGGGTCTATGTGAAGAAAAATACGGAACAATTTTCTCCTGAAATGATTAAAAAAAAATAAGGAGCAGAAGTTGGCCTGAAAATGGGCTTAGACGGGCCTAGCCTATTTACAACAAAGCTATTGGGCAGTGTTTTCCAAAGACTGACTGCCACTCCCCCAACCTCACCAGGAGATGTTCTGTTAGAAAAAGGGGGAGCGGGGGGAAGGAGATTGTAGTCAAATAGGTTTGAGAAACTCTCTACAGAACATTACCTTAGAAATTCATATGAGTATTGAAAGCACTGAGGAGGCTTTCAGTAAAGAAAACTATTACATCTGGGGAAACTGGTTGAAACAAGCCAATTGATCAACAAACCCCTCTTTGTGGGAGATATTAATCAATGTGCTGTAGATGTACTTGGAATGCTCTAACATGGGGCTCCTCATTTGGGGCCGGACAATTTTCTGCTACAGGGGCCCGTCCTGTGCACTGTAGGATGTTGAGTAGTAACCTTGGCCTCTACCCAGCAGACGTGAGCAGTGCTGTCCCCTAACTATGACAACCAAGAACATTTCTGGATATTCCAAAACGTCCCCCTAGTTTAGGCACATTCCCAATGAAACCTATCTTTCCTTTGCTACTCCTGCACCCCAAGTCTGCTTGGGAGCCCTCATATCTTTTAAGGCTGAGCTTTTGGCTGGCGATGCCTTCTGCACCCACCACAGCCTCCGTTCCCCCTGCCCTGGGCCTATAAGGTGGCTAATGAGGAAAGAAGGTCCTGCAGAGACAGTGCTCTGTAGAGGGACCCAACAGAACAGCAAGGGGCCACAAAGCACCCAGCCCAGAGCCCTCCCTGCCTCCCCGAGTTACCTCATGATGTTGGAGGCATCTTCGGCATCGGGGTCTGCGCAGTACTTATTGGCAAGGATGAGGCACGCATCTGCTGACTCTATCTAAGACACCAAAGAAAATCACAGAACACAAAAATATGAATAGCCATCCTTGGTTGCAGTCTCTCTCTGCTGACAGCTCTGGGGGAACCTGGTGCTTTGCAAGGCAAGAAAAAAATAATAATCCTGAGAGATTATAGTTTTCATCAAAAGTGTAGGTTGCAAGTTCTTGTTATGGTATAAACATTTCATCTTGTTGCTGCTGGAAGGGACAGCGTGTACCTTGGTAATTATACTTTTCATTTTGCATAGCCTCTTACACAGAAGCTTTCTGTCTTGAGATAACAATTAATTCAGGCTTTCAGTCCCTCTCCACCTCCTTTCCCCACCATTTGCACCATCATCCTAACTTTTCCAACCAGGAAGTGGTGTTAGGTGGGTGAAACCCCTTCTCTTAGGCTACCAAGTTAACTGAGTCATTGAGGATTCAATGACTAAATTCAGAAATTTAGACTCAAGTCCTTCATCTAACCTTTTTTCACATCTTAAATGCGGAATAAGAGGAAATGAGAGCCCTAACTCAGATAACAGCTCAGTACTGTTTAGTATTCAGTTAGCATTCAGATATTCAAAAGACAACAAATCTGAGTGTGAAATGATATGTTACAGATGACCTTGAAAGACAACCTAAAGAATTATCTAAACATGTGCCAACAGATACTTATTCCTTTGAGGGGATCACAAGTTGTGCTAAGAATTGCTTGCGACTAAATCAGGTCCATGGACAATAATTGTTTTCCCCAAGCTCTCATAAGATTTCACATTAGACATGACTTGGATCGTGTCTGGGTAATATTAACTAGACTCTGTAAGCGTAAGTATTCCCATGCTGGCTCTGGTCTGTCCTACTTGGGACGTTGTGCTTATGACAGACTATTTCTGCATTTGGTGGGAGGGCTTGGTTTCCTCCGTGGTGTCACAAGTTGTCTCCAGTTTTCTCTCTTTCATAAAGCAAAGAACTTGCCCAAATTCTTTTGGCTTATTCATGCTTGCCAATTACATTATTTACTGAATTATGCAGTGACCACAGTAAGCACTGAGATATCAATGGATTCAGAATATTAATCTATCTATCCCCACTGGCATGCAAATACTGAACATGCCTACAAAATCCATATAAAATGAGCAAAGTAGTGGATGCCGTTTTGCTGTATTCCTTTCCCTTATAAATCTTAGGTGTGTTTATAAGAAGATTCTAACTCAGTAGGTTCTAGACAGAAATACTAGCCCATTACCAGGTGCTGCCAGATGTCTGCAGGCCCAGTTTTGCACCTTTAGTCTTTGGTGAGGAAAAAAAGGAAGCTTAAAATGTTTGCTGGCGAGGGTAAACTATTTTATACTCTATCCTTAATGTTCCTTCCTGATATAAATAACAGATTTCAGAGCTATGCTGAGCCCAATTTAAGTATTCAAAAGGGCGATGACTTGATGGCTGTGTCACATATGACACCGCTGAGTCCAAACAACTGGTCTGCTTCCTTTAGCAGTGCTGATATTGAGGGGCCCGGTGATGTCCAGCATGTTATGTACAGGCAGTCCACGTACGGGATGCTCACAGCTGCTCTGCCAAGTGCCAGCAGAACACAGTCCTGGGGCCAGTGCAAGGGTGGTATCAAGGCTGGTAGTATCTGACTTATTTTCTAAGGGCTTTGGAGGAGACTCGTGGCCACGTCAGGAGGCATGTCCTGTCACCCCAGAGTCACACACCCCCTAGACGGAATAAAAGCGGAAGTCACTTCTTCCTTCTTACCTTGACTCTTGCAAGGTCATGTGGATTGAGGACTGAACCCTGATAAAACTCCACCTGAGTAAAATGTCGTTTGAACAGAGCTTCCAGCTCCAGGTTAGGGGAGATACTGTGCGGGGAGAGAAAAAACAGCTGTTAATATAACAGATTCAGGTATTCAGCCTCCATGGCCTCCCTGAATTTCCAGAGAGAGAGAAAAGGCTTCCACCTTCAGATCACCCTCTTTCTTGCCATAAATAAGAGGCTCACACTGAAGAGAAGTAAAACCCCAGCCCAACTGAAAATCAAAACCAGTACCAAGTTAAAATGAAGAGCTTCATAAACTTTATAGCGTCTGAGGCCTATGCGGCAAAACGTCTTCAACGTCATCACAAATGGAATCCCTATTTTTAAAAATTTTGTCTCACTCACTGCTTTATTTTATGTACTGATTGATTTGTCTGTGCCGGGTCTTAGTTGCAGCACCGGGGGATCTACCTTGCTTCACGCAGGATACTTCTTGGCGGTGCACGGACTCTCTGGTTGTGGTGCACAGACTCAGTAGTTGTGGAGTGTGGGCTTATCTGCTCCACGGCTTGTTGGATCAGAGTTCCCTGACCAAGGATCGAACCCATGTCCCCTGCATTGCAAGGGGGATTCTTAACCACTGGCCCAGCGGGAATCACTATTTTATGAATGAAGAACAGAGACTGTGACATCAGGGATCAGCCAAAGGTCTTCCTGGCAGAGCTTCCTGCTGTTCCTTTCACCAAAAGCCTTTTCCCTACTTTTCCACCTCATGGACTTCCCAACCTCAGGAACTGGATCAAAAAAAATCCCCTCTGAGTAGACATATACAGAGGGTAATCCACTCCCAGTATTGTTCTTGATTCAGCATGTGTACACTATTTATCATTCTTAGCCTTAAGCCACACCCTGCAATCTTTCCCATTGCAGGACAAGGATTAAAATATTGGTTAATCTATCCATTCATTTATTAATTCTGCAGAGATGAGAAACACCTAGCTTCTGTTAGGTGCTTCACTAGGCACTGGGAGATCACATTTAGTTAGAACCTACTAGGTGCCAAGGACTGAGTTAATCAACCCTTGCCTAACATAGTACATAGTAATGATGATAACTGCTAATGTTTTTGAGCATTTGCTATGCAACAGCCACCATTCTAAGCACTTGACAAATATTAACTCATTTAAACCTCAGAACAACTCTAGAGGAAGGTATGTTATTAACCCAAAGCTTGGAGAGGTTAATTAACTGGGCCATGGACGACAGGGCTGACAATGATAGATGCTGGGGACACAAAGGTAAATCCTAGCAATTGAAGCATTAGCAGCCAGCTTGTTGATCTGAACTAAAGCAGTGGGTGAGAGAAACACAGCTGCCTGTATAAGTCCAACTGGTCTTCCAGATCCGTTACACACAGGGCCTCCTTCAGGAAGTCTGCCTGCCCTGGTAATACAAGGAGTGGTGGTCTCTCCCCAATCCAGATGTCCCATGTAATTCTGCCACTTGATTAGACTGAAATCAGTACATTAATAGAACTATGTTGTGTTCTAATTGCCGCACATGTGCTCCTCTTGAAATGTCCAAGAAGGATGACTTGTCTTCAACCTTCCACATGCTCAGCAAAGGATGGGCCCCACAGCTGGGCTCCAGTGGCTGAGCAGTTAATTGGATCTATGGGTTAAGCTCTTGTGGCCATGGTCTGCCCAGTCCTTTCAGAACTTGGACAAGTCAGTGCCAAGGAGAAAAATGCTGGAGTTCAAACATGGTTGCCAGTTCCATATTCACAAATGTCAAAAGGAAGGAGATGTATAGGATAACTGTAGGGAAGTCAACCTCAGTGAGATCTCAGAGCAGGACTGAGTCCTGGGTGGTCAGTACCAAGTGAAGCCAACATCAGCATGTGAGCTTTGTCCCTTGGCAATGTGGGGCTAAGACTTGCCCCATGATGACCCCATCTCCATAAAAGAGGAAGACAGCACTACCCACGTGAACATGCCTGCATTCTCCATCTCCATCTGTGGGCTACCTTTTACCTAAAAGGGGACCAGGCAAAAGATCTCAACAGCACTGAGTGGAAGGGAGATATCTTGGTTTCTTTACGTATAAAACAAACTTGATTAAGTCCTACCTCCTAAGTCCATTGTATAGCCTAATATATTTTCTCTCACATGGTAACAGCTAACATTTATTGGGCACTTACTGTGTGTCTGATTCTCTTTATATGTGTGCATGCTAAGTCACTTTAGTTGTGCCCCAACTCTTTGCAACCCTATGGACCATAGCCCTCCAGGCTCCTCTGTCCATGGGATTCTCCAGGCAAGCATACTGGAGTGGGTTGCCATGCCCATCCCCAAGGGATCTTCCCAACCCAGGGACTGAACCTGCATCTCTTGCAACTCCTGCATTGGCAGATGGGTTCTTCACCACTAGTGCCACCTGGGAAGCCCACTGCTTTGTATACTTGGGATGAATTTGCTTTTCATTCTGATAATAGCCCAAGAAGGTAGGTAAAAACCATTTTGACCTGCCCATCTTATGGTTGTAGAAACTGCGGCCCAGGGACTTAATTTGTTTAGTACTTAGTTACGTCAGGATCAAGATCATCCTCTGAGTTGAGCATGTACTCTTACTCCCTTTTCTGATTTAAGGAGACACTATGGTGACCAGCACTGTGTCCCACGCCGAAGGTTCCTAGGAATGACAGCTGTTGTTACTGTTGTTACTGCCTTGCACCCTGCTTCCTGTTACTTCTGTGTCTTGCTCGGGCACTATGTTAGCCCTACGCTCATGAAGAATCCACACCAGACACTGTGGATACACCTGGATTGCACAGATCCAGACAGCTTCAGGGACAGTAATGATGTGTTTGACCAATAATGAACCTACTGTCACTTGCCAGAGTCACCTCCACAGAGGCAGGTGCAACGCTCATCACTGAACGAGTGGGTTGCTTCCTTCCCATCGTTCCTCGAACATCCTCTCCAATGAGTCCAGCAGAGACGGTGGCCGAGTCAACTCTGCCCTGCCCCCCAGTGCCACCCGCACATCACTCCACCTACAGACACTCAGGGGGTCCCCCTTGAGCTGCCTGGTTGGGTGGAGGGTCTCAAAACCGTGGGGCCTCTTACTTGTGAAGAAAGACGATCTCCACGTTGACATCATCGCGGTCCTTGTGCAGAAAGTCCTTGAGGAAGTTGGAGACGCTCTCCAGTGTGATGTGTCCACAGACCACTATGTGCCTGGACGGGAAAGGCCAGTGAGATGAGGCCACTCCAGAGATGCCCTGGCACCCACCCCCAGCAAGACAGAGGAAGCGCACAGCTGCAGGGAAGCATTCAAGTCCTCCAAGGAGGCTCGGTAAAGCCCAGCTCCCTTCCCCAGAGGGCTGTGAGGCAAAGCAGCGGGGCCAGAAGGTGCTCAGAGACTCCTCGACAGAAAAGCATATGGCTTCTCACCTGATGCTGCACAAAATCCTATTAAAAGCCCAACCGCTTGGCCAAGTGGTTTTATGCATTTAACAATAAGTGACATTATGCTTGGCTTAAATGCTGCATTATCAAGCCCCTTGCAGATTCATATCTCTCCCTTTCTGCCCACAAAGCGTCCTCCCGGGAGATTTACCGAATGAGTCTCGGTTTATGACATAGAGCTTATCAGGTAATGAGATAACAAATCTTGCTGAAACGATGATTTTGTGTGTAAGAAAGCGGACTTTTATCAGGGTGGCTAATGTGCGGCTTGACACGTTATGGGCTCTGCTGGCCATAAGCAGTAAAAAGGAAATTTTGCATTTTTCTGCCATAACTCCTCCGACAATGGGAGCATGTAACACTTTACAGTAAGTGAGCATCACTCAGGGCTAAATGTGGGATGGGACACCTATGGAATCTGAGATGGTGCCGCAGGCAGGCTGTGCATCCCTAGACAGCTGCTTCCTTAGGATGCCTGAGATTTCCACAAGAGACAAAGGAATTTACCTTTGGACAGGGGAGAAAAGCTAGGAAGGGATGAGGATAGAATGGTTTGCCTTTGTTTCAGGGTGCTTTGGATTTGTCTCTGGAAATAGTGGCTCCCCTTGAGATGAGCCCATCTTCCAGGACTACTGGAAGAACAGTCCTCACCCCCCTGCACCCCACCAATATTTTTGGACCCATGAACCAATCTGACTTTGACACTGGGCTATACTGTGGCCACTTACATTCGCTATCTACGATGCTCAATCAGGAGTAAGCTCTTTAATACAAAAGACTGCAGAGATGAAATCTGCCAGCTTCTAGTAAAGAGACTGTAGCAAAAGGCTCACTCAGTCCAGGTCCCTGTGCCCCTCATGCTGACAGTGACAGAGGCTGACTCCCTGGCTGGACTTTGAGGCATGGGCAGGTGGTGAGCATGAAGCACAGTAATTTTGTGGGAGAAATTTAGAATGGCCAGGCCCCTTGCACTCCATAATTGCTCTGTGCACATTCCAGTAAGGCAGAGAGCTCATTGGCTGGAGGCGGCTCCTAAGAGGAGGCAGTGATGATCGCTTATGCGATGTTCCATTAGATGCCATTACAAGAGCCTGCCCTTTCGGTGTAATTTGGTGCTTGACTAAGTATGTGAGAATAATGCAGTAAACTCATTGGTGAGAGGATAATGATGCAGAACAAAGAGTAAATCAATAATATGCACAATGCAGTTAATAATATCACCGTTATGGACTGTTATTGTTACGGTGCTGCACTTAGCGGTCGGGCAAGTGGAGGCCCTTGTTGGGGGCGGGGGGGTGTCAATGGGCTTCCTCAGAAGAGATGTTTTAATATAACCACTTGACTCTCAAGCCAGTACCTGCTAGGTTAAGGGAGGTCCCCTGGCCACAGATCCAAATTTGATGTTTCCAAATGTATATGAATAACTCCCTTCTGAAATGCACAGTATGTCAGAAAACATGATGTAAATTGAACAACTGGATTATACACATTTTTGTCGGGTCATATCTTGAAAAAAGTGATTCTTGTGGCAAATGTGCATTTATATGGACAAAAGAGGCTGCAAATGAATGTGCATTTTCTGAATAAGACTTCTGATTTTGAATTTGCCAAGTATGTTCAGAAACTGACCAAAAAAATAACATCTCCCTCCTAATCTGACATCTCCCCAAAAGACAACAGGGCTGTTTGGGGGACAATTCTAATGCTTTCTGCCTACAAACTTCCATGACTGAGAATGAGGCCAGAATGAATTCAATGTACGGGCACCTCTGCAGGACAGATAAGTGAGTGGGACTCTTCCTGATAGTATGGCAGGTTTGATTCCCTGCTCTGCCACCAAGGATGTGTGTGATTCTGGGCAAGTGACTTCTCCATATTCGATAGATGAGGGAGCTGAGAGGTTAATACTACCCATCCAACCTCCTGCACCAGGCACTCAAAGCTCGAAGTTCTTTACCCGCATAAGCCTGGTTATCATTCAGAGCAGGACTCAAATCAATGATCAGTCCAGGAAAATGCCAGAACATTCATCCTTCCCTATCTTGTATGCAAAGAACTGAATGAACATCTGCCAGCATTCCTTCTTCCTCTTGTGAGATCATTCATCTCTAGGACAGATGTGTGAGAAGTGGAGGGGAAGGAGGTGAGTCCATCCTCTCAACCCTTGAATCAAAGACTCAGGCAGCTGATTTATTCAGCCTTAGAAAGAGTCAGGGTTCTCTTAGTTGAAAATGTGCTGGGTACATATAAAATATATTCCAATGCAATCAATATTATCCCTTAAGCCTTTAATTAGCTTTCACTTCTCTTAAGAAGCAGACAAATGTTGGCAGGAGAGGGGAGGAAAAAAAAAAGGATTGACTTTTCTCATTTGGTGCTGGCCTATCCAATACCATTCTAGACAATTGAAAGTATATATATCTTTAAGCTACAGCATGATTTCTGAGGTGGAGAGCAGTCTTTATCAAAAAAGGAAGAAAAAATCTCCCTTCAACATAATTGGTATTTTTGCTCAGGAAAAAAGCGAGATTGATTGAAAGCAGATTGCCTTTTTGCCCAAGAAGAGTTATTAGGTACATTATCATGGCAACCTTGGAGAACCCATATTGTTCCAATCTGTCCTCTATCTGAGTTGAAGATTTACGGCTTCCCCCTTTTGTGCCAATAATCATTTCCCTCCACTTTGTTTTCCATACAGTGGAAGTTATCAGGGAGCCCACATATTGAAGATGTTTGAGTGCAGTTAGAACTGATGGGTGGGGTGAAGCTGCCTCTCTGACTCAGCACCTGCATTAGGAGGTCTGCTCCCCACCAGCTCACATCTGAGGAAGTGAGCGCTAGGGGCCCTGTGGAGTACAGGGGATGGACGGTGAACGGGGAAATGTTCTTTTCCAGCAATATTTTCAGGACTCTTGAAATTTCCAGAGGCACTAGTTTGAAGAAGGCTGTTATTGTTGGGGAGGAAAGAAGCAAGAATGTCTCACATCTTCAGTGATTGAAAATATAATTGAAAATATTGTAAGACTGAGAGCACGGTGTGCCCTCCTTGGAAGCATAGTGATGGTTGTTCACCATGCATGCTTTGAAGAATGCCAAAAAGTTCCTCACCCAAAATTATCTCTGTCGGGTTCCTTGACACCTACAAATCTACCATGTGAGATTCATATGTTGATAGCCCTGTGTCAGCTCAGCTCAGACACTAAATAACTAAACAGTCTTGGGCAAGGTACCAATTCTGCATTTTACAACCATAAAGTCAGAGTCTCTGAGGGGTTGGAGCTATTACCTGATTCATGAGGTTATCTTGAGGATTTATTTAAATAGATAATACATGTGAAGGGTCTACTAAAGAGTCTGGGCCATTGTAAGCATGATTAAATGGTAGGATTCATGTGATGTCTGTAAATCAGGATGTAACAGATATGGAGTGGTCTGTAGCTCCTGGAGTCTCATCTGATCCTCAAACAGCCCCACATTCTTACTCTCTGCATCTTTTCAAATAACCTCTCTGAACCTCAATTTCCTTTAGTCACATGCCTGACATCCCACAGCAAGTAAAGTCACTTGCCCAGGACATGATCCAGGTCTCTGACTTTAATTCTCACAAAGACAAAGGTGAAGACGTGGAGAGAGAGCAGAGGCTTGGGTATTTCAGCTTCCACTCCTTTACAACAGACAGGGATAGGTCAATGAGAGGTTGCCTCGGACATACAGTGGAGGGGACATTGGAGGGTCCTCCCTGGGACAGGAGAGAGGCCCTCACTTAAAGCATCATTACAGCATGGTATCAATAGATACTAGCTGCATCTAGGCAGCGAGGCCAGCAAGCTCAAGATAGCAAAGGCTGAGCGACAGCAGAAACTCAGAACCGAGTTGTTAACTGAAGGTATGCAATTGGCCAAAGGGCTGCAAGGTGATGTAAAAACGACCTTTAAAGCATTATATACTATATCCAGCCCAAGGATCCCACAAGAGAACAAAAAATCTAACAGAAGATTCACTGACAACAGAGGACAGTCAGGAACACTGGCTGAGAAGGGCTCTACTCTCTTCCCATCTGTGACTCTGGATCCAAACTTCTCGAGACTACCAGCGATCCTAGTGGTTGATGCCATTAAGGGCCTGGCCACCCGGTTTGTGAAGATGGCTAACAAACCCAAGTCAAACCCAGTTCTGATGGAATGACCTCTTTGGTTTTTAAAGTTCTGTCAAGTCCGGTGAACAACTCTTTCTCGGGATAAACTAATTTTAGCGGCTTGGATTAAAAGACCCATCTCAGATACATGAGGAAGCATCTTAAATGCCAAAATAGTAGCCAATGGCACTTTGTGGGAAGAAGTTACTCATCCAGTGTAAGAAAGCATGCCTGGTTTGGATAAGGGCTCCAGAAAGAGGGGATGGATTGAATTAGGATGGGCAACACTAATGTGTCATGGGGCAGGCTTGGCATCAAGGGTGGAGTATGACTTAATCAGAGGAATGATGCTTGACTATTACAGGCTCTATCAGAAAAGTGCTAATTGCTTATTTCATGGGTACAACCTCATTCAATATTTCCCTCCCATTAATAAGCATCTCCACTTTCAGAATGAAATCCCACACATTATCCTCAATCTCACTACTCTCTTCTTGGAGATGGGCCAAGTATGCTGGAATGCCCCAGTGGAGTTGGAAATTCAATTTTAGAACTCAATTCCACTGGTGTCTTTCTGAATGGATCACTAAAGGGAACTGACTTATGGCAGAAGGCATAAGATGAGGACAGAGAG